AACCTTTGAATATAGAATAGGAAATCAAAGCTGAAAGCTCTACATACCTATACCGGGTGGTGCCTAGCGCGACGCAGCATAGGGATTTCAATGGTAATTCCTTTATAGCCAATTACTAGCTCCCCTAATTATTTTAGAGCAAAAGTCTAAATAGGTTTTTTTAAGAGAAAAAAATACTGCATCTGTTCATACGATTACTTATGATTTTCCGTTTTTCAAAACCGTAGAAATCCACAAAAAAAAATTAGATTTTTATAAATCAGTGATGCTTTGGAATTTTTTAACAAACTACAAGCGCATCGCAGTTATCGTTGTTTGACGTCGAACGATTTTCATATTTAATTCTGTTCCAACTATCCGACGGAAGAAAAAGCGTCTGTGGAGTAATGTTTTTTTAGAGAATGTAATGCTGCATCTGCATCAGATACTATTTGTGTATCATTTTCCGGAACCAGAGTACATAATCGAAGAAAAAGAAATTGATTTGAGGAAGAATTGTTCTTAAAGGTATATTCGGCGGGCATAAAACAACTTCAACATTTCCTCTTTCTCTTCATTTAAATACATGATAAACAATTTTATGATTAACTAATTTATAAACAAGTATAAATTTATTTAATACACGTCAAAATAATGAAAAGTTATCGCTGTTTTTTTAGTTTATTCCAAGGCATATCTGATTTATTGTAAAATGAACCTTTTTATTTTGTCGATTTCTACGGTTTTGAAAAACGGAAAATTATGAGTAATAGTATGAACAGATGCAGTATTTTTTTGTCTGAAAAAAACCTATTTGGACTTTTGCTTTAAAATAATTAGGGGAGCTAGTAATTGACTATAAAGAAATTACCATTAAAATCCCTATGCTGCGTCGCGCTAGGCACCACCCTGTATAAAAATATTACTAATGTATTACTTTCTAAGATATCATTCCTACTTACTTCCTATATAGGGATTTACAATAATGACTTTTTGAGATTTGGACTTGGGTGATGAAGGGAACAATTTCCGAAACAAGAAAAACTGGTCTTCAATTTTTGTGGTTCATAGCACAAATTTATTTAAACAATTATCACATCCGATCAAACTACGGCCCCATAGATTTCTAAATTTATATGATAACGATTTTCACAGGTGCGCGGATGTAAGAATGGTATTTTTCTTCAATTAGATGAACAGTTTTCGATATTTCGCATGGCTTCCGCAATGTAGCCTGGTATTTGCTGCGTTTTCAACCTTCCCCCATTTATCTAATTATATATCTGAATTCTGATCTAATTTACAACAAAATTGTTCATTACAAAAAATGTTTTAATAGATTTTCGGAAATTTTCCAATTCCAACACGACATTCGCCTGATGGTTTACGAAATTAGTTTATTTGGCTAGCCGTCAAACCTACAGTGGAATTATCAAAAGCATAGGTAGATTAAAAAATTATCAAAGTCCTCGTGTGGGATCGAAGAGAGATCAGCCCATTTTTGTGGGGCACATCAGTATTGTATTAGCCACCATCAAAAAGATCTTATCGCAAGCTAACACATTCCCTTTGTCGGTACCCGCTTCCGACGTCCCGTTCACCCATAATTCGCATTTAAATGAATTTTGCTAAAAACTCTCCACAAAATAGTTCTCAATTTTTGGGGCACTTCTCATAACTCTATTAGCCACACGAGAAAGAGAGATCGCGATTCGAGCTTTCAGAAACAAAATTCGCAGAGGAAGATACCTTTTGGGCGCCCTAAGTCAACTACCCCTCGCAGACGTGCGCCTTGTAAAATGAGGTTAATTTCGTACCTAGGAAAAAAATTAATTTTCTCCACGCAGTTGTTGTGTCCGTTTACAAGATCGTTCCAACGGCACCATTTTGAAAACAATCTGAAAACTGATGGTGAGTAAAAACTTCAAACTCGAATTGCGGGTGAGCGAGACGTCGAAAGTGGGTACCGAGAAAGGGAATGTGGTGGCCCCCGCCAAGATCTTACTGATGGTGGAGTAAAACTTCAAACGCAAATTGGGGATGCACGGGACGTCGGACGCGAGTACCGACGAAGGGAATGTGGTAGCTTCGACAAGATCTCACACGAGGACTTTGACAATTTTTTACTAACGACATGCTGAAATAAAAAATTATCACTTGTAATACTACTAGTGCTTGCTATTTCCGGAAACTTTTCGAGCTCACAAATATTTGAACTTTCGCAAAATACTCGTGAGCAAGAAAAAAATTCTATTCAAGCACTGTGGTATTCGGTAAGAAAATTTCACACCATAGTAACCCTCAACGAAAAAGTGACGTTTTATGTCAAAACATTATTACCTTTTTACGTCAAAAAATTTACGATAAATTCCTTGGTTGCCATGGAAATGTGACACGAAATCCGCATTTCATTGGTCGATAAAATTGCTGGTTGAAATTTTCGTTGAGATTTGTCACCTAAAGTATGTAATGTAAGACACAAGATTATCAATTTTTGTATGAACAGTTTTTTTAACAGAGCTGCTAGATTCAAGAAGGTGCTGACAAATTCTTTATGTTTATCTATTATAGGTACATCGTCCAAATTGTACATAATTTTTATGTAATCGATATTATTAAATTGCTTTTTGATAAGTAGGTAACAATACACCTACATCAAATATATGAAAAAAATGTATGAAACGGGTCTAAAAAATTAAAACGTTGTTACTCCTGAATATTACATTTATTGACATTATCGGTCAATTATCGTTGGTACTAATAGACGAATAAATGGAAGGCATTGAGATTCTTTTGTTACTGGTCTAATAGGGTCATAAACCATTGTATATAAATATAATGGTCATTAGGTGTTAATATTTTCCAGGTAAAAGTGCTACCTGAGTTGCCTATCGTCATTGTATGGAAGGTATTGCATTTCTTCCGTCGCTATATTTTATATAAACTTTTGAGTAAAAATTACGTTTTATTTGATAATTTGAAGCAGTTCGTAATTTATTTTTTTAATCCACTTAGTTACTAAATAAATTGTGCGGATTTACTTTTTCAATATTTTTTTTACTAAGGCCAGTATTCGCGTTCTTAGTAAATTCAAGATTATCATTTATACACGACTTAAATTATTTTATCAAAAAAATAAATCGCTACATTTAATGACTTTCTATATCTCTATCAATTTCCGATAAGACCTCTAGTTAGAATTAATATTTGGGCTTCAAAAATTACTCAAAAGTTTCGACTTTTATTGCAAATTTCAGTGACCATTGTGTGTTGCCTATCCTCTATCCCTAGCCCCCTTAACACTTCCTCTTTCTCTTCAGTTAAATCATTGATTAACATATAACGAGATGTTAATCAATGGTTAAATACATAATAAACAATTTTATGATGAACTAATTTATAAACAAGTATGAATTTAATATAGGTACGTCAAAGGTAAATAATGGAAAGTAATCGCTGTTTTTTTAGGTAATTCCAAGGCATATCTCATTTATTATAAAATGAATCTTTTTATTTTGTCGATTTCTACGGTTTTGAAAAACGGACAATTATTAGTAATAGCACAGATTAATCTGTGAGTATGAACAGGTGCAGTATTTTTTTCTCTGAAAAAAACGTATTTAGACTTTTGCTCTAAAATAATTAGGGGAGCTAGTAATTGACTATAAAGAAATTACCATTGAAATCCCTATGTTGCGTCGCGGTCTATAGGTTTAGATGGATGTCAGTTTATGTTGCTAGGCAACATTTCCAGTCTGGTAAGAATACGATTTTTTTCACTACTAGCGTCTGATGACATGATTATTAACCCTTTTTCCACTTGTAAAGTAGGCTTTCTCGGCAGTTGTTCAAAGTGGTTAATAATGTGGACATTATTAACTAGTAGCATTGAATAATAAATCTGATGATTCAGATTTATTATTCAATGCTAGTAGTCAATAATGAGAACTGTCATGCTGTCACTTTTAAAAAACACAACCCGAAATTTCGCTCAATAAACGTTTAGACAAGTTCTCTAAAATGAATAATTGCCACTATCCGCCATTTCTAGAGAAATTACATACCTAAAATTATCACATTTTGAAAAAATTCGAACGAAATTACTCTTTGAAAATATCTCAATGACAGAACAAAATACGGCCTCTGTTTGCCTTGTACTTCCACGTACTTGATTGACATGTTAAATAAATAAACAAAAAATTATCTCCAACCGTTCACTTTCTCATCAATATAATATGTTAATTTAGAGGATTTCAAGTGCTAGTAGTGAAAAAAATAGTATATATACCACGGTAGAGAAGTCTATTATTGCCTTCGCAACTTACACACCCCTCGGCGCAAGCGCCTCGAGATGTAATCTTGGTGCTCAGGCAATAACACTGCACTTCTCTACCTTGATATAATGTACTATATCAGACTCAAATGGGTCTGGGAAAGTCGCGATTACTATATATGTATATATATATAGATAAGTAGTATGAAATAAATAACTAGGTATTATTTTTCACTTTAAAATTCGGAACGCTGTAAATTGGTACCTACCTAACTGCATCATATTGTGTTTTTCAGCACGCCCTGATGATGGGCAATATCATGCCTGAAATCGACCGCTATTAAAGAATAAAAAATAAAATTTGCCTGTTTTTTCCTTATACTTACCTAGAAATTAATTCACCGGCAAAAAAATGGAAAACTTCATAAGAAATTTAAAAAAATGTCATATTTTGAGCTTCAAATAACCTGATGAGTCGTCATTTGATGACGTGACTTAAATTTAATGTTCAGATGTGTTTAATTGAAACTATTCTGATCTCCAATGAGTATACTCATTTGAGTCTTAATCACACAATTTTTAAACTAAATTCTTGAACCTACTCTCTCTACTAATCTTGACCATGTTTATTTTTTACTCGTAGGACCCTGTAGAACAAATGTTAGGGTTTTTAAGAAATAGGGTTTGTTCATCTGTTTTTCGACAAATGTCGTTCGGATAATGTCGTAAATATTTCGTTTCGTTTCGTGCCTGTTAAATTTGTGGCTGAATTTATGCTTGGTTTTAATGTTATTAAAATATGTGTATATTGGAATTGTGTAAACTTGAGAGCGTTTTTTGTGTAATACTGTAGAGATCATGGCGAGATGTAAATTTCTGTTAAGGTATGTTTATATTTTTGGTTAATTCTTCAAAAGTTTCTGAGTTTGATTAGGGCTTGCCTTGTACACAATATCTAATATGGCGCTCGATTTCTATACGAACATTTTCTGTTTATAAAGACGTCCCTCTGCCTCTAAGGGCATTGTGGCTTATCCCAAATTGCATCTGGAATAGTACTAAAAGTTTCAAGACTTGATTACATCCTTATTCTAAAATGTTTGTTATTAGAACTAGACTATAACCTCCTCTATTTTGTTTGTCATAAGCTTTTAACATTAGCTAATATTGCACTCTGTGTCAATTATTATAGTGTTTAAAAGTATGGAGAGCATACATGGCAGAGGAATAGAAACAGAACAGTTAATGGAAATCGATGAGGGTGATGGTTCGGATGTCGATGACGAAGACGAAGATTTAATTGACGATCCGCTACCGTCACCTCTTCAGTTATCATCTTCTGGGGCTGCATCCACAGCCACTTCAACTACTTCATCGCCAAATAATGATGAATTTTCGTTACCTTACTTGTTTTCAGGTAAACCGCTTAATATTAAAAGAGGACGAGGGAGACCGCGTCGAGAGGGAGGTAGGATATATATTACTTACAAATTTTATATTAAATTCTTGATTTATTATTAGGCAAATCTTTACCGCGAAGAACGGGACTCGCTTCTAAAATTAAACGTTTAAGAGGTATTGGTTACACACGTGGATTGCCCAAAAAAGTTCGACCATTTGACAAAATGGAATTTGAATACATCTCATCATCATTGGGTTTTGATGATCCTAATTCGATCTTAGATCCCGAAACAGGAACGTTTATCATTCCTGAAAAGGAAAAACTCGCTTTAACACCTGATGATACTCCATATCCGCCTGAACTATGGTAAGTGTAACCCACAGCATCTCGCTTTAATTGAGTCTTTTATTGTAGGCCCGGAAAAGTGTGCGCATTATGTAATTTGGGAGAAAGGAGTCAATTGGGGCAAAGAGACCTGTTGCGTCTTAGTTGTCCCGAAGGCTTTATTCCTCAACGAATGTTATCTAATTCTTTGTTGTCGCAAGTGGATACAACACAAATTACAGAACGTGAAATCGGAGATAAAAGTCCTCGTGGTCCTGTGACATGTCGTCGTCAGAAAAGCTTTAATAAGTGTCGCAATCCGTCTTTGTCTAATGAATATGTTGACGAATTGTCTATTATCGGATATTTGGAGCAACCTGATGTTCAAAGTGTATTCGATTCCTCTGGTTATTTTTACGTTCACAGAAATTGTGCTGCTTGGTCTAACGGAGTGATTATTTATGGTAAGTTTAAATTAGTTTATTTGCGTGATGTTTTAGTTATGTTGATCAGAGAAAGAGAGATTGTGGCTAATGATGTATGTTAATTGCATTCGCCTTGTGTACATAATTCTAGCTTGGACACTTTTTTTTGTTTACTAAAAAATAATAACATTTGTCTGAATAGTATCTGGAAAAAAGAACGCACAATTGTAATAATGTGTTTGAAGTTAAGTCAGCACTATTGCCTCGACTATTGCTAACTTTGTTATTATTACAGCTACGAAGGTGGTTATATTTGGAAATGTGAAGTATTTTTTCTCATGGTAGCAATAATGGTTGAATCAGAAAAGCAATTGATTCATACTAAACGTACCGGCACCGTCACGTCACCATCAGGTAACGTAACATAAAATATTCTCGTTGGGAAATCTTGATGGTCCGGATGGTGATGTGACGGTGTAGCCTGAATATGTCTATAGCTTCCATTGGACATTTTGTTGATGGTACGGTGACATAACAGTGTCTGTAGGTATAGTTTTCCACTAGGGGTTAGGTTGTTTTTTTTTGTTGAGTGATCACCATCGAAATTGCAAGACACATCAAACTCACTTATTTAATAACGTACAACGAAACATAAATAACATGATTTTCAAGTAACAAACAGGATACAACTAATAGAACGTGCGAATGCCGTACGCACACTCTACACTTCAAATGAATTATGTATTTTTGTATAGCCCATCGGATGTGTTGGTTGCATCATGTTTATACTGTTACTCAATAGAGCTTTTAACAATACCTAAAATAGGGTTAGCAGGCTGTTGTTTGTGTATATCTGTGTCTATAGGTGTTCCATTGTTTTATCTTTCTTACAGTTCATGTACTGCACCTGTGTACCGGGTGGCCCAATAAGACTGTTCATCGGCCATATTTCGGGAACCGTTCGTCGTATGACTTAGGAGTAAAAAAAATTATTGGGTAAATCGGTCATGAAGAATTGCTGGAAAATATTTTCAAGTTCTAAAAATGACCAACAGAGGGCGTAACTGCCATCTTAAATTTTAAAATTGCATTTTCTTTAAATTTCGCATAATAAACTAAAAAAATTTTTTTCACATTGGAAAATTAAACAAATGAAACACGATGCTTTATAAAATAATAACAGCCGTAATTTGTAAATTATTCTGCTGTGTTTACATTCAGAAAGTGCAGATTTTTTGATTTTGTAATCTTTTCTAAAATGCCAATTTCTAACCAAGAAGCATTTAATATGCTGGCGGCGATGGTACGTGGTCAATTCGGATAACGCAAATAGAAGATGTGGGCAGCGATGGTCGCATTTTGAAAATACTCAAAATATATCGCCAGCATATTAAATGCTTCTTGGTTAGAAATCTGCATTTTAGAAAAGATTACAAATTCAATAAACTGCACTTTCTGAATGTAAACACAGCAGAATAATTTGCAAATTGCGGCTGTTATTATTTTATAATGAATCATGTTTCATTTGTTTAATTTTCCAAGGTCCACCTAAAAGTGTAGGGTCCTTTTCCAAACAATGTTTCGCGCCATCGACAAATACCGGAAATACGTCAAATAAGATACAATTTAAGCATTTTTATTAATTAGGTAATTAATCTCATTTTCCCAATATTTGAGGTTAGGAACGAGATTTTGAAAAACGGTTTTCACTGGCCTCTTTGGGTGTTATAGTGTCAAAACTAGCCCCCTGGCGGAGAAGGATTGAACTAAATTCTCATTGCTCAAGGAATGCTCTTTTTAACCATACCAAATTTGTTACAATCGGTTAAACGGTTATGAAGTTAAAGCAGGTTATTGCAAAAACAATTGAACGCCCCACACCATCTTTGTTTTTGAAATAACTGAGTTTTTGTTTTTACGAAAATGATAACAAACTGGTTTTCTTTAAAATTGTGAAAATTTTTTTTAGTTTATTATGCGAATTTAAAGAAACTGCAATTTTAAAATTTAAGATGGCAGTTACGCCCTCTGTCGGTCATTTTTAGAACTTGAAAATATTTTCCAGCGATCCTTCATGACCGATTTACCCATTAATGTTTTTTACTTCTAAGTCATATGACGAACGGTTCTCGAGATATAGCAGTCTTATTGGGTCCCCCCGTACAAATATTCCATCTCATCTCTTTTGTGAATTTGGGATATTATTTAACAAATCTCACACTTTTCAGGGAAGTACTAAGAAGAACAGGCAAATCGTATTGTAGTTACTATTATATAATACGATTTGCTTGATCTTCTTAGTACTTCCCCAAAAATTACCTCACCGGCAAAATGGAAAACTTAACAAAATCTTACACTGTCAATTTGACAAATGGTATTGCCATGCGAGATACAACTTCGGTAATACTTGACACTACGTTTTGCGAAACGTAATTACCTACCTAACGTAACAGGACACCAACTTAATGGATAGAAAATGGAAAACAACAATCATGTACCAATGTAATTTTGAATAAGTTTTAATTCTGGACGCTGACTTCTTGAAAATCGTAAAAATATTTCACACAAAATCAGTATTAAGAACTTTTTCGTAGAGTAGGTCACACGAGAGGTCACACCTCCAAATGTTTCAAAATTTGAGCATATTTCTGAATTTTTTATCAGCAACCATTACACATAGAAATTAAAACTCTTGGCTTTGGGGTACGCCCTTTTCGATTCTGAAAACACTACACAGAGTTGAGAAAATTAATTATTAAGTAAAATTCAAAACCACAATTTGGAAAAAAAAACTAAACACAAAATAATATAAAATTCGATTATAAATAACTTCTACCTACTTTTTACCCCTTTCAAATAAGTACGTAAACCAATTTGGTAAATGCGCAATTTCAAAAATGGTCCAATTTGTTGTTAAAAAAACAAATGAACTAAATGAAGTAAGTTGACATTATGCGCATAGCACATTTGATTTTTACTGTATGCGATATGTTTACGTTTAGGAGAGAGGATTCTTTTTAGTTAACATTTCAAAAAATATTTCCATAAATAAGAAAGTTGGCATTGCGCAGTTACTAGAAGCATTTGTGGTTCAAATTTTAACAAAATATGGTAATAAATAAGAAAGTTGATATTGCGCAGCTCGCGCATGCGCACATTAATCGTCAAGATTTTTCTTGGCTCGGGTGCTAGAGCTGTAAGCTACCGAATTCAAAAAGAACGAACTAAATACATTGTGTCCAAGATGGGGATCACGGAAACCATAGAAGATATGGCGAAATTCTGGATACTTTCTAGACAGATTGTACATATATATTTCCAATCCTTTTTGAATGTGGCCTACTTATTGTTTATTTTTTTTTCAGAAAATTCTGGTTTGGAAAATGTAGGACAGATGGTATTGTATAGCATTTCAAAAAAATGTTCTTATTGCCATCATTTCGGCGCAAGTTTAACTTGCAAAGCAGGGGGGTGCAGTAAACAGTTTCATTTTCCTTGTGCGACAGCTTCCGGTGCCTTTCAAGAGTTACGATCTGTTGCAATTTTTTGTGTTGAACATTTGGCAAAAGTTCCATTAGTGTGTGAATGTAAGTTTATAAACTTTCTGTGTAGCATAATGTATCGACGTAATTTTAGCTTCTGTTTGCTATACTTGCAAGATGCATGGGGACATAGCTAACCTTATGTTTTGTTCCTCGTGTGGTGAACATTATCACGGGACCTGTGTCGGATTAGCGCAACTACCAGGTAAATATGTTTATTTTAAATTTTCAACAATAATACTTTTAGTTATTGTTTTGTAAGATATCCACAAACTTTAAATGTAATGAAATTATTTTTATTCACGATCATATACAGGGTGTTTCGAAATTCGCTCACACGGACTATGGGATGGTGTTATAAGACAAAAACTGATCAAAAAGTTCCTCTACCAGTTTTCCATCAGACCGCCCCCCCCCTACACTGCGCCAGTAGTTAAACTTAATAATAACACATTTTTAAAAACAAAAGAAGGATCAAAATAAACTATAATTATGACGAGTACATAATTATAACAGTTGTTCAAAGTGTCCGCTAGTAAACAAGCTTCAGCACGTCAAAAAAAAAAGTGTCGGTTTGATCAAAAACTGGTAGAGGAACTTTTTATTCAGTTTTCGTTGTATAACACCATCCCACAGGCCGTGTGCGCGTATTTCGAAACACCCTGTATGTAATAATATGTCAATTGCCAACTGTTTTGATGCTTGGAAGTGAGCAATTGTTTAACATACTTTGCGAACCTCGTCGAGGTCGACAAAGTACTTCCCGACCTGCATGGCCATGTTGATTAGATTTCAATGTCACGCTGAAACTGGTGGAATTTGTTATACCTACCACCTCTTTAAGTCAGATTGTGAATAAAATAGTGTACAAACCTCGATGGTCAGTGGTTCATAATAACCAGCGCCTCGCGCTTATACCTCACCTCCGCGCGTCGGTGATGTACCTTAAGCCCTCGGGGTAGGTAATGGACCACTTCCCAGCTCGTAATCTACTATTAAAAATATTTGATATGATGAACCTTTGTTATTTTCAGTAAACTAACATGAAGTCATGAACTAGCAATACTCACACCTTTAATTGATTTCAGTTTAAGAGTAGCAATGCTGCTGTTTATGCTGATAGGTGGCGAAATTTTAACCATACAAATAAGTTTGTTGCGAATGACTAGATAGTACTGTATTCGAAAATAGTCCGGTTAAAATAAACATTCACCTTTGCATGAATTCCCAAGAAGCTGAAAATTTACATAAATATTATAATGAAATTGTGAAGTCCCCATCGATCCCATGTGTGCAAAAAAATTTATTCAAGGCCAAAGTTTGCAAAAATGCGTTTTTTGGATTCTTTAGCGAAACGGTTAGTTTTATGATAAAAATAGCTCAAACAAAAATTGTAGACCATGCAATCACCTACAAATTTTGAGCTCACATCTTTTCCCCTAAGATCCAGTATTTCTGAGAAAAAGCGATTCCAAAATTTACTAAAGCTGTATAACATGCATGACTACGCTGCCTATGTACATCATTTGACGCATAATATAAGTAAAACTCGTTAGTCTGCGCATGACTAATACATTAATATTGAATGGCTAATTCATAATGTATTGGAACCAATCCACATACTACTTCCAGTGCACCAGAGAAGCTCCTCCCGCAAAAAGGGGTGTAATTCAAAGTGCAGCTACGAAAGCTAGGTTTATTTTGCTCACCAGGGTGCACCAGTGGTCAATGCCAGTCGTGCTCAAATTTTGAATATTCAAGAGAAGATCCTTACATCGACGACGAAACAGTACCGCTGTTTGAACTATTATGAATTATGTCAACTCGGGAAGAAGAAGACAAAGAAAAAGAATATGGAGAGAGAGAACATGAAGAAGAAATTGAATGAGAAGATTTTTTATTCTACTAGGATTAAATAAAATAGATCGTGGAGTAGGCCTACTGGGGAAAACACATTAAAAAAAGCATGTCAAGTACACTATCTTGGTGGGGTGGAAACGTGTGCATAGTATAGGGAATACAACTTTTCACAATTTTATTATAATGGTATCCCTAACGTTCATGTAAATTTTCAGCTTCTTGGGAATTTATGCAAGGGCACCCCTATTTTTTGGGATAACTTGACCGAAAAGGAAGGTTCAGGTATTAATGAATTTACATACAAATCGATAACAAAATAACCGATAAATCGAAATTCAAAGTTAAACGACATATGATTTTTATTTGTTCCAAGAGCGACAATCTTTACTTTAATACTTACCTTCTGTTACAAATATACTATACTAAAACAACAAAATCTTATAAAGCTTTTATTTTAGGTGTGAGGGCTGGATGGCAGTGTAGAAAATGCAGGGTGTGTCAAGTGTGTCGAATGGTTGGTGATGAATCAAAGTTAATGGCATGCGAACAGTGTGACAAAATATATCACGCAATTTGTCAAAGACCAATTGTAACAACTATCCCAAAGTACGGATGGAAGTGCAAGGTAACATGGCCACAAATTTATACATTCATCTCATTTGAAGCATTTATAGTGCTGTCGAGTTTGTGGTGATTGCGGGTCCAGGACTCCCGGAGCTGGTTTATCTTCACGATGGCACGCCCATTATACAGTATGTGATTCCTGTTATCAACAACGTAACAAGGGCTTTTGTTGCCCGCTCTGTCATCGTGCTTATCGCGCACATGCACATCGTGAAATGGTACAATGCAGCTTGTGTCGAAAGTAAGAACACTTTTCTAGTAGGTAATTCATTTATTTTAATACATCTTTTCGTTAGATTTGTGCATGGTACTTGCGACCCTGATGCGGATCTTGCAACATATCACCAACGCAAAGAAGCGCATCCAGAGTACGACTATATTTGTCTGATTTGCAAAAGTATAACTCAACAAAATCGACAGTTGATGGCTAAGAGAAATAGTAAGTAATTTCTTGGCTCATAACATCTCCAATTATCTTCAAGGTTTCTTTCTAGGTATCGAGGAGAGCGATTGTCTCTCAGGATCGTCCGAATTTCTCTTTGAAGATTCATACGAGTTTGACTTTGATAGGCAAATTGGAGAAGACCCTGCGAAATTTATGGGTTTAGGAAAGGGTAAACCTTACAGTGCTAGTAAAATAGCGAAAAAACGTTTAGGTTTAGGAACAGTGACCTCGGGACGACCGAAAGGCATTGGAAAAGGTTTACCTGGGAAAGTGGGATTTACAAAACGTCAACGATTAGCAGATTTTGGAAGAAAAAGGGGCCCCAAGTCAAAAATGCGTGGCATTTTCGGTGTTCCCGGTGTCGGTTTACAGAGACCTACTTGTGACGGCAAGACAGACGAAGAACCCGGGTTGGAAAATCGTCTTGTGCTGTGTTCAGCAAAAGACAAGTTTGTGTTAACACAAGATATTTGTGTAATGTGTGGGGCATTAGGGACGGATCAAGAAGGATGTCTTATAGCATGCGTTCAATGTGGTCAATGCTACCATCCTTACTGTGTGAATGTTAAAGTGACTAAAGTCATTCTGCAAAAAGGATGGCGTTGTTTAGACTGTACTGTTTGTGAAGGATGTGGTCAACGTAATGACGAAGGCAGACTTATTCTTTGTGATGAATGTGATATTTCTTACCATATCTATTGCATGGATCCTCCATTAGATTATGTTCCTCATGGAAATTGGAAATGTAAGTGGTGTGCGGTTTGTCAAGTTTGTGGTGCTACAGATCCCGGTTTCAATTGCTCATGGATGAATAGCTTTACGGAGTGTGGACCTTGCGCTTCGCATTCGGCATGCCCTAGTTGTGGATCTTTATACAATGAAGGAGATCTCATCATCCAATGCACTCAATGTGAAAGATGGTTGCATGGGAATTGTGATTCTATCAAGACTGAATTAGAAGCTGAAAAATGTGCGGATGAAGGATATACTTGTTTATTATGCCGTCCTCGGGATGTGCCACCTCCTCATCTTCACCCATTGCTTTCGCCAAAACCAGTTACACCTTGCAAAAGCCCTGAATTAAAATCAAACGCGAACTATTACATGGACGGTGTTTATTTAAGTGAAGTTGGATATGGCCTTATTAAATCATTAACTAATGAACAAAGTGTAACTAGGAAAAAGCGAAAAAAGTTAATCGGTGGCCACCACGATAAAGAAGCAGGCATTATGGCTACAATTGAATCTGTAGTCGCTGGAAGTAGTATGGGTAAGTTTTTAGAAAAGCCAGATCCGCATCATGAACATAGATTTGTTTTATGCCTTTATTATTGTCACTTGAATGTTGGGTTTACTGTTACACCAGCCTCATGGTATGTCTATCGGCACAAATTTTGATAATACACTGTGTCCAAGATAAGGACGTCTATCATGGGAATCTCGGAAACCATATAAGATACGACGATGGTAAAATTAGGGAAAAGTTATTCAATTAAAGGGTTATTATCATGCAGTAAAGAAAACAGAAAATTCTGGTTACTTCCGAAGATATGCCAGAAAATCCAAAGTTTGCCGATTTAATTTTTTTCTGATGTTATTTGAGTATTGAGCAGATACCAAAAAATTAGAAACACTTTCTCATTACCACTTTTTGAGAACTACTGTTGAGAGATTTTCAATACAACTGGCATACATTCAAAATTCTTCAACACTTTCTGCAGATATTTGCACTGAATGCTTTAACATCACCAACAGATATGTCTCGTCCTGACGTTCCACTTTCCTTTTATGTGTATCCTCTTCCAACACTTCGTTGTCAAGGTGAGGTGAGACTTCGACTTCACCAATAAATATGTCTCTTCCAGTCGATTCATTTTACCTTTGAGAATGCTTTCCTCAGACAAACCGTTTTTGAGATGAAAGATTAAAGCTTTTACATCACTGTTTTCCTGACGTCCCATTCGCTCTTTGTGAGTACCCTGTTTCGACAATCCGTTCTGGAGATGTAAGGGAATATAGCCGATCAAGATAAGGGATCGAGGAGGACTATGATTAGAGTACCATGAAGGATAAAACCATTTCCACTCCCCCAACCCCCGTCTTTTGATAAGGGGTAGTCCATAGTTGATTCCACATGCTAAGTTTTCAATAATTCCAGTACATTTTGAACTTTTGATCCTGCTTTGCTCGCTTAGATAACTGTAATTTAAATATAGAGTCATTCTGCAATTGGCAATTTTTGTGCGCTATTGCAGCCACTTTCTCTGTTCGTCCGTCTGTCTGAGGCCTTAACTACTCCTACAGTTTTCAAGATATTTAGTTTGTCCTTTTTGTATTCGGTAAGGAAATTCTTGACGATTAAACTGTGCATGCACAGAGTGCGCAATGTCAACTTTCTTGTTTATTAATATATTTTGTTGAAACTTTAACCACAGATACTTCTACTAAAGGCAAGCATATCGCATATAGTAAAAATCAGATGTGGGCATGTGCAGACTGCGCAATGCCGACTTTCTTAATTATGGAAATATTTCTTTGAAATTTTAGCCATAGATACTTTTAGTGAAAATAAACGTATCGCATATTGTAAACATCAGATTAATGTGCGCATGCGCAGGGTGCGCAATATCATCTGTCCATTTCCGAACTATCTTTTTGAATTTTAATCACAGGTGCTTCTATTAAAGGCAAACATATCTGCCTATATTACTTTTTCATAAGACACTTTTCCCTATTCACCCCATTTCACCTATTCACATGTTGACCCCATTGATTTATCGCATCCCTACGATCACTTTTCCTTTGTAAATATTGGAGAGTATCGAAGATCCTTATAAGTGTTGAAAATGACATGTAGAATGTGCCATATTTTACACCTTGTCTTACACAAAGAAATGTCAATGTAAGGAGGCATCCTCTGCTATCTGCTAATGCTCATTGCGCCAGTTTGAACGAAGTCGGAAGGGTGTCACGAGAAAAAAGAGTCGTTCCGAATTAAAGTAATGTTATGTATGTAAGGTTATATATTAGTTGAAGGAGTGGAGATGCATCATACATTTTAGGGGTAAGATCACCGACAAAAGTAATGATAATCGGCTGCTTACTGTCACTTAGGCAACCAACCATATACTATCTAAAATGGCAAAGTTAAAGCATAAGTTTTCCGGCGGGTTTCGTGTGAGATATGCCGTACAGCGTCGCGCATTGTCGTGTTTGCTTCGGCGTTTCTTTGTCTATGCCTTGATATAATCGTTACAGTGGGTATAATTACAAGGATTGGTAAATCTTTTTTTAATTTTGCGTATTGGTTTTCCAAATTGTTGCAACATACCTACCTCTCCCTTTATATCAAGACAACGACGAAGAAACTGCTAAGAAGGAGCAAAGCGCGACGCGTGCGGCCCATAACAATGGAATCTTAGTAAATACCTTGCTAATTACTTATTAGACAAGCAGTATGTTCTTATTATGGTTATTCCATTAAAAGGAAATGTGATTGTAAATGTCGAGGGAGTATAAATTACCACTTCATCGTTTACTTGTTATGAATTGTTTGCTGAAGTTGTTACCTCTTGTAGAGTAAAAAGAAAAGAATTCATTGTCATTACAATTTTTTCACTTTCAGTTTGGCTGGAAACAACCTAAATTAAAAAAAATAGAACATACTGTTTTTTATGCTTGAATACGCAATTAAAAAACACAAGTACTATTTAAATCTTTAAGTTTTATTTTTTTACTGCGTTTATACGTTGGGATTTTTTTGGCAGTGTGTAACAAAACTGGATCACTAAAATAAGAACTTATCTTGCAGAATTAACTTTAAAAACCAGTTTTTATTTCAATGAAGAGAAAAACGAGATTGAAGATACCAATAATGTGAATTAATGTCCCTTAAGTTTTCCAGAATATAATGCATAAAGTCTGGTTTTACCAATTTTTGTAATTACACCTACTGTAGCGTTGATATCAAGGCAGTGACGAAGAAACGCCGAAGCAAAGACGACAATGCGCGACACCGTGCGGCCCATCCCACACGAATTTCCGCCAGAATAGTTACACTTCAACGTTGCCATTTTAGATAGTTGGTTGCCTAAGTGACAGTAAGCAGCCGATTGTCATTACTTTTGTCCGTGATCGCACATATTTTAAAAAGGAATAGATATTGTGCTTAAATATGATCAAAACAGTTTTAAATAAATTAGCCCAGTCGTCAGGTACTTTTTGCCTAAAAATAATTCAAGGAGTTTTGATTTCTGGTGCATGGTGTAAGGTCAAGTGTCAAAAACAACATATTCATTTTGCGACCTCGAACTCCTTGTGGAAATTGTAAAAAAAATCGTGTTTTGTTGAAAAAATTGATTTTTGGCAAATATTTCGGTTCTCGTGCGTTTTAGGAAAAATATTCACCTATACAAAAATGAAGGGGACAAAATTCTCTTTAATTTATGTTCCATTCATTTTTGCTGTAAAGTTAATTGTTTCGATGCGGCGGCTCTGTAAATGTACCTAAGTACCTACTTTTCATCACTCCGCACACATTTCTGAAGGGCGCGTTTTCGTGGAGCCGTGGGCAAGCCGGTTGTACCAATTTGTTTTTAATATCGTATTATATTGTAGCTAGAATTTTAAATTCCCGACTAAGGTACTATTAAGTAAAAACTAGCATTTTTATTTGAATAATATTTTTTTTTAATCCGACCCCGACTTTTTCGCCGACACTACTTTCGCATCTGTTTAATATCTTTTCTGTGGTTAAAACTGCTTTCGTTTATTGGGCAATTAATTAATTAATTAATTAACCACTCATCCACATTTGATTCTATCGTCATAGTTGGAGAGGACATAGATTTGCTGGTTATACTGATGACATTAGGGGCTGCTCATCCCAACATATACTTTCTTAAACCCGGAAAAGGTAAAATGGTGCAAAAAATGTACTCTGTGCAAAGTCTACGACCACAAGACATAAAAGTGCGACAACATCTACTTGTTCTTCATGCGATCAGCGGCTGCGACACAACTTCCGCTATCTTTAAACAAGGGAAGGCAAAATTCATCACTGTCTTTAAGAAGAGTAAGCACTTAGAGCAGTACGTCCAAGTTTTTAATGACGAAAATGCTGAGCTTGAAGCTGTCGTTGAAGCAGGGCACCGTTTTCTTTTATCATTGCTAAACGGTGCTAAACCTTCGGACACATCGTTACCGTTGCTTTTTGGAATCAATAACTAAAAGCAAAACCAATCTCGCCTTATTACCACCTACCGAAGCAGCAGCGCGCCAGCATTCTTTGAGAACTTACCACCAAGTGCAACTTTGGCGCGGTAATGAAAAACCACCTACAAACTGGGGATGGAAAATAAATGACAGTGGACTACTTCTTCCAGTTACGACTTTGCAGGCCCCCCTCGCCTGAAAAACTGCTAAAATGCATTTCGTGTAAATGCAAAAAAGGCTGTGGACCGGCCTGTGGGTGCAGGAAAACTGGATTAAAATGTAGTAACATGTGGATGCATCAACGGTGACTCTTGCGATAATGCGCAACACTTGCTTTCTGAAAATGATGATGAAGAAGATGCAGCTTTGATAACAATTATGGGCCAAATAATAGAAGAATTGGATGACGAGCAAGAATGCGAATTTAATGAGGAGAGAAGTGACGAATCAGAACTTGAAGATATTGAAAAACCAGGACCATGGAGCAAGACAAAGCGAAGGAAACTCGATTAAATTCGCTTCGTGGATTAGGCCACAGAAAACTAACGAATCAGGAACTTGTACAATTGCGATAAAAAATAGTTAAATTTACAGACCCGCTACATCGAAACTATCAACTTTACAGCAAAAATGAATGAGATATAAATTAAAGAGAATTTAATCCCTTTCATTTTTGTATAGGTGAATATTTTTCCTAAAACACACGAGAACCAAAATATTTGGCAAAAATAAATTTTTTCAACAAAACACGAGTTTTTTTACAATTTCCACAGGGATTTCGAGGTCGCAAAATGAATATGTTGTATTTGACACTTTACCTTACACCATACATAAGAAATCAAAACTCCTTGAATTATTTTTAGGTAGAACAACTTTTATTGCTCTGACGACTGGACTAAATGATTGGATTTCAGTTCTTCTGTGCTGCTTTATTTTTTCAAGTAAAATCGAAGCACACCAAATATATGAATTATCAACATGACATGTTTTCAATTTTTATATCAGATTAAAATAAAAATAAAAAGCCTATTTTTTATACCTAAAAGTCTTATTTTTTTTAAGTAAAAGATAAAATAGACTAATGGTGGGTTTATGCAAGACCTTAACTTAACTTAATTTAATTTATGAGTTGCAACATAAGGATTTTACCAAGATGTTTGTGCAAGCATTTAATTTAACTTAAGAATTTAATTTAATTTAAGAGATAACCAACTTTTATCTCTTAAGATAAATTTTTACGTGAAAATCGAAGCGCTTACCTTCGGAAATACGAATAAATACGACACTAAACCGAGGATCGTATAGTCAACGTTGCAAACTGTAATGTTACTAAAAAGTTACTAGATATTTATGAAATTAAATAACTTGCATAAACCCATACATTAAAAAATAAATTAAATTGAATTAAAATTAATAAGTTTAAATTAAATTAAAATAACGTTGCATAAACCCACCATAAGTTAAAAAATTTGAAAGTGCACTTGGTGAGTGACAGAAGTGACTACTTTTTTCGCTCTCACACTCTTTTGCTCTATTCTTTTTGCTGCCATGTATTATATCGATAAGAATATAAGGTGTAGTACATATAAATTTAAAACAAGTCCATGATTCAATTAAAAAAGTTCTATGATAAGACAAGTAATACTCATACCCGAGCTCATTCCTGGACCCATTATTGCAGAAATTCATTGGCATCAGCAGAGAATTATAAAGCAATAACTGTCTTGCTTGTTTATTGTTGCCCTTCATTCAAAACAAAAATTTGTATTATGAAATTGGCATAAATGGCGAGAAAAAAGTAAAGTACTGTTTTAATTGCAGGTCATAGTAATTTAGACGATAGTACAAAATTAGAATTAATAGATTTTAAAGATGATCCTCAGGATTTGTATAAAGAAGGTATGCTTTGGACCAAAGAAGATGGAGCTCCACCGGAAGGCTTTACACTGTACACTATGGAAAGTGGCGTAAGCGTGTTAAGAAGAAAACGACAACGTAACTTACAAAAATTAGGTAAGATGTCATTTCAAAATGCTTAATCCATTTCCAACTGTTGCATTTTGTTTAGGCATAGGGGGGTTTTTAGTGCGCGTTAGAGGAATACGGGGTAATCCAGATAATGATGATGTTGATACATTACCAGGGCAAAATTCTGGAGTGTTAGAATCGGCAAATTCGCAATCTTTACATGAAGGTGAAAAGCCACGACGTAAACCAGTTCGGAGAAAACCTAAAAGTAAACTCACCGAGAGTTTTCCTTCGTACTTACAAGAAGCGTTTTTTGGAAAGGAATTATTACAAAGTACCAAAGAGATGGATAGTACTAGTGATAGTGATGACGATTCTTCAAAAACTCACTCGGATAAAGACAGGGTAATTCAACTGTCTCAGGTAGGTCTCGCTTGCTTCTTTAGAAATTACATGGCATAGATAAATCATTTTTAGGAAGAAGTAAAACCTGCAGCTCTGGTAAAAAAATCAAAAGCGTCAAAATCTTATTATGGACAAGAACCAAGTGCATTTATAAGTAAAGTGATTAAAGATGCACTTAAAGAAGAACCTGAAAGTGATACTGAGGTTCTTAAGGATGTTTTAGCTTTACCGGGTGATTTATTAGACACAGACCTGGTCAATACAATTATGAGCGAAGATAATCAAGATTTGAAACATGTTGGAAACTTGGATTCATTACCAGGTATGGTTAGAACCTTGTTTCATGAGATAAGTTTTTCTTTGCAGGTTCCAATATTCCTGACTCAGAAATTAGTGAATCTTTAGAAAGTACAACTAACTCTAAAGATACGAAAGACGAATTAACCGATATCTTGGGCTCACATTTCAATATCGAATCAATTCCAAATATAAATAGTAAAGATGTGGAAGATATATTTAAGGTAGACATAAACATTACACGGTGCAAATATATCAATTTTTTTGTACAGAATGTATTAACTGACGAATCACAAGAGTCTCAAGAAAGTTCGGCATTTCCAATCTCGAATGCTAACACTTTTCCTTCTGATATAACTCAGCCTTTAATGCATCAACTTTCTGCACCTATAAGACCCAATACGTTACCAACTGTTAATCAGAATAGTCTAAACTCTCCGGTTAGTTTTCCTTCTCAATCTCCTTATCATTCGGAGTACAGCAAGTAAGTTACAAAGTAGATATTTGTTATGGAATATTTCTAATGTTGTCTTTTTCAAAACTAATTAGCAGCCCACAGTTTAGTCCGGCATTTTCGGAACCGCCAAGTCCTTGGGTTACACTAAATGAAACTGCTGAAATTGATACGCCTATTACAAATATTCCTTCTACTTATAACCAGCGTTCTGCTGAAAAAATGAAAGCCGACGAAGGCTTGGGTTCCGGCGCCACGATCTCCGCTGTACTTTATGCAAACATGAATCACCCGGAATGGAAAACTGACTATCCACTTTGGAATGATCGCTACAAACAAATAATTAAGAAATGGAGGACGTTAAGTACCGAACAAAAAGCACCTTATCTACAGCAAGCTAGAGATAACAGATCAGCACTTCGTATGAAAAAGCAGCAACAGGTAAGTGCTAGCGGTTTTCATTCAAGGTTAATATTAATACAAGTCAAATGAAACACTTTTATTTTACTTGCATGAAAAACCTTGTTATGTTACGCATCAATCATTAGTTCCATGCGCTGTTACTAATGCTTTCCATAAAAAGTACTTCTGATATCCCATGGAATTGCAGAATCTCAATCAAATACAATTTGTTACAGCAAAACAAATCATGCCCTCTTTTGTGATTTTCTCAAATAAAGGGAAATTCGATAATGCGATGTAAAATAACAGTTTTTGATAATTTTGTGAAATGAATCGATTGTTTTATTCATCAATTACTTGATCATCAATATACATGCAGAGAGATTTTTTAAGAGAATGGATCACACCAAATGTTGTATCGGATTTTAGGGAACCTAAATAGCGCTGTATGCCGTTTGATATTTTGAAATTTATTTTATTTTAATCTGAAGCAAAAAAGAGAATGCTCTCAGCGTCCCTCAAATTTTTTAAAACATTACCCCAATTACTATTCTACCAATTTACCATTAACATTTCTTTTTTCTTGTGGATGTTTTAGCATTTATGACTTTTACTGTCATTTGTGAATATTGATGCTATTACAGTTAACTCAATTCTCTCACATATTGATTTAAAACGACACAAAGTATTTTCTTAAAAGAAGATATGTGTGGCAAGGTTACATTGAAATTCATTATTAAATACCAGTTCTTGATTGCGGAATGTGTATTGACTTGTCTAGGTCCATGTCAGATGATTACAGACTCATAGGTAATGATAGTTATTTACCTGATTTATAGCATATAGATACACAGTCCGGCAAAGATGTACGAGTATGATGTTTTTGAAATGACTGGTATCAAATATCTTAATATATTAATACATGAAACTCGCATACTATTTGCATTTGCGTAACGCGAGGCACGGAAAAGAGCGCCATCTACACGGCCCGGTGACACCCCCCCCCCTCCACTCCTCTTCAAAAATCCTAAATGGTAACCCTATATTTGTGACACATCGTTGGAAAGCTACTGAAAAATGCTTTCCAGTGGTACCAATAAAGTCACAATTTAACATAAAATTTAATAATTAACAAAAAAAAACTAAATGTTGACATTGAGGGATTTATTGGCCATGAACTTCAACCTGAGCTGCTTCATTAGGCAATCTTGGTTGCTTTCTTTGTTTATTGATAACAGATCCCGTTTCTTCGAATTTTGCGACCAAATCTTAAACATAGCCATGACTTATGCTTCCGGGATGTCTCTCATTAAACGTTCTAGCTGTTCTAAATGATCGATTTTCGGAGCCATAAATGAATATTATTTCCACACGTTCAGCTGTAAGTCAATAAAAAAAGAAAGCAACTAAGATTGCTTAATGAAGCAGGTCAGGATGAAGTTCTTGGCCAATTGAATTGAAGAGATGGGAATTTCCTTAGATCAGTTTCGAGCATTCTGCCGGCTACTCCGAATTAGGTTTTCCTGCAGTTTTCCTAGTTCGTAAGGTAAATACCGGAGTAGCATAGAACAACTTAGGACCTTATGCTGAGGCACCTCTAAAAAGCATTATGCGGGTCATTCTGTAATTGGGCGTAAGCCTGTTGAGGGCCTAGAACAAGAGGGACAATAAATAAATAAATAAATGAACTCGGTAATTGGCTAATTGAAAAATCACTGAAAACATACAGGTTGAACCAAAAGAACTTTGTTTTGTTGTAGTTTGTTAAAGTGGGACTGCTATTTTATGGGACCTTACAATGTTATGAAAATTAATTCAATAGAAATATATCCGTTTTTTGTGAAATTTGAAAACTGATTCATTTTAGGACAACTAATTTAGGCAAAGTATTATATACTTCTTTTGGGAAGTAATTAGCAGCCAATTGTTTCATAATCTTTGAGATTTAGAATGCGTGTTTCATTATATTCGTAATCGATACACTTATGCCTTATTTCCATTTGCGTTGTATGCATACAAATTATATGATGGAACGAGCATTCTTTTTATGCTGATATATATGTTACTTTGTGAAGATTAAAACAATGCTTGGCAATATGCTACCTTTAGCAAGCTATACCATTATTTTAATTCATTACTAACTACTGTGCATTTATGTCATGTGTGCTTGTCATTAGTGTTGTCTCTCATTAGAGTGTTTGTGTCTTTCATCACCGTTTCACAGATCAACAAGGAGAGCACCAGCTCACCAATAGTGACCAAAGTGATTGCAACCTCAGTTAGCAGCATTCCCTCAACCCAGGCTTCCGTCGTGGCTCCAGTCTCAGAGGTGTGCACTCACCAGTCGAAGTCTACTTCGTCACTAACCACTGCTTCCACTAACACTGTATCTGTATCTCCACCAATTCCACCACGTCCAGTGTCATTACCGTCGTCACCCTCCACACAGCAACAGTTCACTGTACGCGGTCACTTTATGGGTCCAGATGATCATTGCGGATCTGCCCCTAATGTGACCGTAAATCCCTTATATCAGCATGGAACCGAACCCGAAACACCAACCTTAGCCCCGTCTCTTTTACCAACTGCTCCGCAGCTGTCTTTGGCTGCAGATCAGCAAATTCGTGTTCTTACCCCTTCAGAAATTATGCGTACTCTTCCTTCCCTCAGTCAAGAAACTTATGAACCTCAACCGCTGGTGAGAATTAACTCAATGTGTCGAAAGCTTATATATGTTGAAATATTATATTCTAAATGTGTTTGGGACATGTGTCTATTTTATTCAGTCAGTGTTGTAAACATATTGAGTTTTATTAAAATGTTTTCCAACATTAGCATGGGAAATTTTTTAACAGTTGGGTTTTTGTTAGTTTTATATCTACATATATCCTTTCCTCCTTTATTTTACACAGATGCAGCAGCAATGAAAGTTCTTTTGAGGAACCATCCACAAAATAACTTTGATTGTAGATTGTTCTTATACTTTGCTATTGCATGTGTTTGTATGCTATTTGCCTTTCAAAATGCATGCTTCGAATTCTTTTTTGTTCTGAAGTAAAAGTATTTAGGTGCTTGATGCGAATTGTAAGCTTATTCCTTTTATTATAAAAATGGTTTCCTATATTTAATTTTTTAATCTTAATTTGTTTTTTATATTATATAACTTATCCCTCTACATTCAAAAACATACATTCAGACCCAAGAAAGACACAAAAAGGAGAAGTTGCTTTTCTGAGTAGTAGGTACATCAGCATTAAACTGACGTTGATGTCAAGCTCATTGTTGTGAATTATTTCAGTTAAAGATAACTATTAGGGGTCAATATTACACTCTAAATGACATTTTCCCATTTTTGCTCGTCTTTTTGTTTATAACAACATATTCCAAGAGTTTCCGCCCCGGGGGACTATAATTTTTGGGTTCAGCGGATTTTTTACATAAAATACACTTGGCTTTATTGAGTGAAGTGATGACATCCAACCCAAACCGTAATTTGATTGGACTGTACCTTTAATCTAAAATTTTCATGTGCGAACAATTTTCAAAAATTTATTACTTATTTGAATATAACTGGTTCGTTTGCATCACTTATCAAGGAGTTCCTAAATTTCCTTTCAACCAAATCAAGTATAACTCTCGCCAGGAAAGATTGCCGGTCACAGCACACCTTGTGTCGATTTACAATCTTTGTTTTTATTAAGATGCGAGCGACTTCTGGAATAGGATGGTGCTAATGTTGAACAAAAAGTCTTTTCGCTCAACATTGACACGATACTATCCCGGAAGTCGCTAGCACCTTACGAGAAACAGAGATTGTACATCGGGATCAAATGTTCTGTGACCGGCAATCTTTCCTGGCGAGAGTTATAGAAAGTTTATTCCAACTAAACAACGTTTACAAAGGTATAAATTTTTTTAACTTGAAATCGTACAAATGTGCCCATTACCACATGTATAATATATGTTACTAACCAATCCTATTTGGTTAATTTAGTTCAGGATAGTAGTAAAATAATTCTTGAGTAAACATAGATTTTGCTATTTCTGTTATTTTTTACTTATTTTTAAGTAGTAACAGAACTGTGACTTTGCAATTATAAGTAACATCTATTTTTAATCACCAATTATTTTACTATCCTGAAGTAAATTAAACAGAGTGGTTAGTTTACATAGTAACCAACGAATTTGTTATTATGTATTACTAGAAATATTGAGTTTACACTTTATCCAACTCATGTGGATAGTTTGTGAACTAGGTAAAAATTCTGGTTCATTTATATAATTTTCTTGTGGTTTGTACTTTGGCGATAAATCTTGTATACTTTATAGACTAACTGGATAGTACGAGTATACAAACCAACCAATATTCATAGCTATTTTAGTGAAATGATGATTTTCCATCAAAATAACCATACATTTGGATAGTTTACATACTATCCAGCTAGTTATAAACTAGGCGAGTAAACCTATCTGTAATATAGACAAAACCACCAGATTAAATAGTATCAAATTTTAGTACGCAATCAAGAATTTTAAAATCACAATTCTGTTCCTTAATAATTAATTCGTCATTCAGGAAAAGATAGGGTCTGTTACAGACAAACATAATTTGAAAGGTTTTACACATCGCTTGACATGACGTCATACTCACTCACTCACACGGAAGTCACACATTCAAGAATAGGACCCTTAAACTGCGTAGAATGAAACGGATTTTTATTTTTTATCGAGCCAATTCAAACCTATCAAATTGTTATTTTTCTTAATTTTGAAACATTCTTTTTGCGTCGATAGAGGGCGAGTTCGCTTACTAATTATGCACTGAAGAATACAGTTCATTTTTTTTACTTATTATAAATAATTCTATTATTGCATTCATTTGTTCATCAGGGAGCAACTTGTGTACTATTAATTAGTATAAATTTGAATTAATAAGTAATTTTTTCTATTTCTAACACATTTTGTACCATTGTGAATAAGCTGGGGCATGTTTTGCATTAAGTAGTAAACAGTTACTAACGTTAAATTACAAAGTGGCACTGTACTAATAGTTGCAATGTCTATTACCAGGATCAAGAAAAAATTACGCAACAACAAAAAACTGCTCGAGAGGCAGAGCAGGAAAGACAGTGGAAACAATTGCAGGCTTTACGTCAGCAACAAGCCCAACAACAACAGCACGTTCTACATGAACACAGGACTCAAGGTAATTATTTTCAATATCCTGCACTAGCGTAGATTATAGTGGTAATTCAGACAGAGTTAGTGTATAGTGCGTTCAACTCTCCATTGCATACGCGCTATTGTGAACCTAAATGCTTATTTTACAAATAATGTTATCCTTTTTCTTCATTATAGGATTGTCAGTTGAATTGAGAAAGGTCATTCTGCACTAATATACTTTCTTTTTCCTAAAACGCGTAAAAAACTTGGTCTTTGGGTATACAGTTATTATGTGGTGAGAAAGTGTCTGGTACACCATGTCGGCATGTTCAGTATTCGAAAACGGGACAGTGAAAGTGTACGAATGAATCATGTACAACACTTAAAAAATTCAGCGCATATTAGCGGAAAAATGGATTTGAAGTTGAATGTATATTGGTGGCGCCCAAACACATCTTGACTTCGTAGCTCTCATGTCAGTAGACGTAGCGCGCGAAATTCTCCGTGATGATTGCTCTGGTTCGTTGTATATGTTACATTTTGCTGGATTTATTTATACCATAAATGACATGCGAAAGGAGTTCAAAACAGAATAAAACTTGTTTTGTATCATGTTGTGAAAGCACCAGCGTTAGTACTCCCAACAAAATATTCGTAACAGTTTCCAGTGACTGGGAAAAGAAAAGGGGTTTGAAGCTGTCACTCGGGATGTGCCTAAATCAAAATCATTGTTTTTCTGTTGTGAATAGTTATTTACATAAAAGTCAGGAAAATGATACATTACTGGCGAGGAAATATTGAAGTGCAAGGCCTCTTTGGGGCCGAGTACTTTAATTTCCGAGTCAGGTAATGTCATTTTACTGATGAGTTTTGTATTAAATTTTACCTGAAATGGTATTTTAATATACTTCAATTTTTATATAGAACTTTTGATTAATGTCAATCTGTCAATGATGACAGGAGTCATTATAGACATTTGGAAATGTCACAAATGCGGCCGGTAAAGTCACGGTGCGGCCGGTAAAGTGACAGGTGCGGTCAGTAAAGTGACAAGCGGACAAGGAAACGTAGTCTGCTTTGCCTCTGTCATGGAAACTAAAATTTCCTGACAGAAAGTAGGCATGAAAATCAAGGTTTCAGGACGATTTTGGGTAATAGCTATTTATATATCAAGAGAGCAAAGTATATAATTTCCTCCCGCCGTCAAGTTTGCGACCCGACGCGAAGCGGAGGGTCGTAATTGGCCAAGGGGGGAAATTATACTTTGCTCTCATGGTATATATCTGGTTTTATTTTCGCGTTCATCAATTCGACCATTAAATCGTTTTCGTTATTAAAAAAACAGAGTAGCTACCTTAACGACGTAACGAGATACTTAGTTACAAGACATCAATTTATCCGCGATCGCCCATTTTCATCTAGAAACCCGCTGTCAATACTAACAATTGATAAGTAATTTCCATGGTTATTTCCAAGTTTTCAAATGTGCACTTAAAGTGACCTGAGTAGTTTGGAAATCTTTTAATAGCGACAAAAGCGATTTAGATTTGCAAAATATTCTTCCTGATGTCAAAAAAGGAGCCAATGCCGCAAGGTTATCCTAGAAATACCAACAAAAGTGCTTACAAGTTTATTCGGTGCACAATCAATGATGCCCAAAGAAAACTGAGAGGAAGACGAATTAAATTTTAGTCAATATATTTTTACGAACTTCGTAAGGTAGGTACCTAATTATCTTTGTTTGGGCTTCTCTTAAGTATTCGATGTTAAAAGCCACCTTAGCCGCGAAAAAAAATATGGACATCAAATACCCAAAATTAACTGAAACGCCAGAATGTAGGTTACAGACCCTTTTTTTTTTACGTTTCCATGGAAATTACTTTACCCCCATAGGGAATTTTTGATTACTTTACGTGTCATAAAAAGTAAACGCACATTTTGCTCCCGCAAATGTGGGTGCAAAATCTGGTTTTTGGTAGAGAGATTACACTCTTGGATCTTTGACATTAACAGCTAATGATTGTTCGGCAGTTTAGTTGGCAACAGAAGCTACCACCTTACAAAATTCAATATTCGTTTTATTTTTCAGCGTAATATCGCCCATTCTTGGCATCTGTCTAAAACAGAATAGAAACGTTACCCACAGGGAGAGTGATTACGTCACTTTGCTGACAGCAGGCTGGCAGTCGTTTAACGCCTCTCTCGTATTATTCAAATTTATTACAGTTTATTTGTTTATTTATTCGCTAATTTGTTAATAACAATTGATAGCATTAAACACAAGCGAACTATAATAGTTTATTAGTGTAATAAAAAAAAATTATCTCGATTTAAAACTTTTGATAATACCCAATTTATCCTCGCCATCAGTTTCGTAAGCATGCCCTGTTTCACCATAAGTGTCATACTGCATTTGGAGAGTTGAACGCGCCATAGCAGATTTGACCTATACTTAATATTACATCACAAAGCAATGAATTTTCAAAAGTATATGTAAGTTTTTCATTTTAGTCTCATAGTATCATTGTTAATATGTGAGGTAATCGTTTACACAGATATAATAAAACCATCTTTTATCTAAAAAATTGAGGTTAACGGTATATATATTTTGTTGTATGAAAAATTAGAAATGAAATAATATAATTCTACTCGGAAAGCAATTATGTGTAATCAAACATTATTAAGCCTTATTATGGATACAAATTGTAGGAGTACTATTATTGAATAGGTTCATACATATTGCGAGTGAGTTACGAAACTGTCAATTACATTGTACTAAACACAATGGTAAAATACCAAATGCATACCAGCCATGTACAGGGTGCGGCAAAACGAGCAGTTCAGCGCAATTCGTTCTTTATTTTTGTTGTAAAAAGTGCGATCGCAGTTTAATTTCCTGGTTCTACTCTTACTTAACCTTTTTAAAGTAAGATCATTGGGGTAAATACAAGGTTGATTTCTGAGTTAAATTTAATTGTTTCATCATTACAATAGTTCTTAAAAACAAAGCTTTCTATCATTCTGATTATTTTTTAGCTATAGCCAATGTTCAGAGATCATTATCGGACGGCAGTGTACAATCGGTAACTGAACAAGTAGGTGTACTTCAGTCTGCTTCACAACCAGTGAGCCCCGCACCTCCATCGCCAGTTGCATCTTCTCATTTATATCCCATCAATGCAAAACCCAATCAAATTTCTTCTTTACCATCACCCTCGTCTCAAATACTTCCCCAATCACTTAATCCGACACCTGTAAATGCATTATCAGATAAAAATGTTCCAAAATCCTCAATTAATTCCTCGCTGAATGAGCGCGTGAATCCAAAGACACCATTTACTACACCTCACACTGATCTACAGGCTTATTCTCAGACACGAACTAGTGAAGGGCCAGATATTAATCGCCAATTAAGAGATCTTTTGCAAAGGCAGCAATTTAAAAAATTGGATCAGCAAGTTCTTCCTGGGAAAGGTCAGCAAAGAATATGGCCTCCAAATGAATCGAATCAAGAAAATGATCAAAGTCAAAATAGCAGTACGGGAGATGCTACATTTCGACATCCTCTTCCGCCTGGATTCGCCAGGCCACGAGCCGCTGCTACTGCTGGGGTTGTATTGAGACAACCTGCTAATTTGGTTGGGTTACGATTACAGGGTCTTGATCCTCGTTTGCAAAATGTTGAGTTTCGTATGCGTTACTTACTTCAGCAACAGGTACGATTCATAAAATAATGTGGGCAATTAATAATTAAACAGTTACAGCAACGTGGTATAGTGCCCATGAACATTCATCAACAGTTTCAATCAGCCACACCACGTTTTCCTCAGCAAACTGTTACTGCAGTTCAAAATGCAGAGCAATATGAGCATATTCAGAAGCAGACACAATTACAAGACAGGGTTCCAAAGACCGATGTGTCTAGGGCTAATAATCGAAATGTACAGCAACTATTAAACAAATCGCAACCGATTTCTAATGCAACGGTAACAGAGAAGACCGGTACTGATCAAGAAATTCCAGATAACGTTACTGCGGAATTGGAAAAATTAGAGCAAGAAACGGGAACAATAGCGGAATTACAAGGTGTTAATGATATATTTGGTGGTTTGGGGGAAGATGATGATGAATTGTTAGGTATGTACTTTAGTGAATAAAAATGAATTTTTAAATGATTTTTTAGCGGAAATGGGAGCCGATTTTAACATCTTGGAATACGCTGATCCAGAATTAGATACGTTAGGGGATGGAGAAAAGACGAACATTCTCGATAGTCTTGATTTGGTGGAACATGAACCTGTAAAAGCAGAAAAGAGAGTTCAAAAAGTTGTCAGGTAAAAAGATTTCTTATTTTAATTTCTTAATCCTATTGTTTGAATATAGTGTCCCTTCGAAAATGCCATCAACTGAAGGACAAGCAGCCAATACTTTACCGAAACCTCCAATAACAACTACTATAAATCAGGCTGTGGTGCATCCTGAAAAATTACCCAGACTTTTACCTCCACCTTTAGTGGTCTCTCAACAACAAGCTGCAGATACCCAACCGAAACCAACAACATCAATTGCTCTTACTGCTCAACAACAAATACATCAACAAATGCTACATCAGGTAGGAATGAGATTTCTTTTTTTGTTTTTGAGATTACATCATACCATAACAGGTTCAGCAAGCAGCTTCTATGGGTAGGCCTATGTCTTTGGGAACTAAATTAATGTCACCAGAAGGCATAATAGGAGTGGTTACAGCGAATAATAATGTATCTCTTACTTTTCCCGCTAATTATGCACAAAGAATAATTACTTCACATATGCAATGTAAGTTCGTATTGAAGTTTCAACTTTAGTTTATATTAAAGTTTCTGATTTACCTAGTGCAAAATCAAAAGTTACAAATGCGAATAGCCAATGTAGGTCCAGGACCAAGGATGGTTGCAATGCCAGCCGGAACGTCTGTACAGGGATCTATTCAGAATGCTATACTAGCAGGGCTAACAACGTCCAGGTTAGGTGTTGGTCAAAAACCAATACAACAACAGCAACAGCCACCTCCTCCGCCGCCCCCTCCTCCACCGTATCCAGGTCCACCACCACCGTATCCAGGATCTACAAGTCAGGTATGCACATTATTAATGCATGAACTGTAGCGTAATGAGAATGTGGATGTGGTTTTGATTTATGTACACCATGTTTTCAAATGTTCGATCAAACGACAAAACTCCTTTTGGATGCTTTTCCGATAATATGAGGTAGACTGTATAATTCCCAGCAAAAATATGAGATGGCGATAAGACATTGACGTCACCCTAACTATGTCTAAAACTAAAAGATTTTCAAAATGGAGTACTTATGGGATTTATAAAATAACTAGAAATCAAACAAAAAATTCAAATCTATCAATTGAGTTTCTATTCAGCATTCGGTACACATAATCAATGCCTTTTGTAGTTATGCAGTGTGACACAACGAACACCTCAATTTTGAGTTTTAGGAAGACACAAAGTCCTTACTCTTACCGCACTTAAGAATATAATTATAACCACAGTTTAGTTGAGCTGCGTCCTTTACATGTAGTAAGTGACAATATTCAATTCATTGTCTTCATCAATGCAATATTGTTTTGAATAAACGTCTCTGGTCGGTTGATAAATTGGGCACTTAAAAAAGAAGTGTATAAGATTTTCGTTTTTGTTACGATTACATACCTGGCATTTGTTTATATTGTCTAAGTCTTTAGTGTGGGCCTCAAATTAAGTACTCTTACCATTCGCATTGGCAAACGTGAAATTCCACAGCCTTCAGCTCAACCATTTAAGCTAAACAGTCCCGCATCTTTCATCAAAGTTATAACCATTTTTCTCCTTTTGTTGGTATAATCATCGGGTGAGATCCTGGTTGCTTGTACGTTGTAACCTGCAATTATCTAATTGGTTTAGTTGCCTAATGCGAGCATTAAAGTCATCTAAAACAACCCACTTATAATCATCGTATGCATATGATAAATCACTTACAAAAGTCATATAGTAATTTGGTAGCATGCAGTCTATTCTGTATTCGAAATGGGAAGTTAGCGAAAGTTAGGACAAACAGACTCGAAACCGTTGATCCCATATAATTTAATTAAGTGTAAAAAAGGAAAACACAACAGACAATCCCAACAATTTTATCAAGGACTAATTAAGTAGGCATTTGTTAGTTTTACTGCCCCGTTTTTAGGGGGTTTTCATTAATGTAGACAGTTTGTGCACATCCTTTCACTGTAAGTTAATTATATATGCTCTCCTCAATTTTTACCTTCATCTTGTAGAGAACACCTGAAGATGACGTCAAGTCGAAACATGTAATGTCTGTGTCTTCCTTTTTTACAGTTAATTAAATTATATGGGCTTATATACACAGCCGAGAACAGAGATTTCAAGGTAAACATATTTATGGCCGTTTGCACTGCCAAATTTAAGCGGGCCTAACTTAAGCGTAGCTTAAATTCCATGGCAACCATTGTCTCAATAATCGTTGCCATGGATTTTAAGCTACGCTTAAGCAAAACTCCGCTTAAATTTGTCATTGCCAACGGCCATTAGTGATACACATATCCATAAATTAGTGTGGCTTATTACTTTAAAATATTGCCGTCTGGCACACCTTCAAGGTATAGGCTACATATTGCAACAAATTCCAGGACTCGAGGAGCATTTCCCGCAGTAGTGGGTCTGGACAGGTGGACGGACGGACGGACAAAACGCAAACAATAGCAAATTTTTGTTAATTCTTAAAAAATGCGCTAAAAATGGTAAGGGATAGTCGAAAGACGACATCCAAGTTTCGCATAAACTATTTAGTACAATGTTCCTAGTATCCACGCCCATCTTAATCAAGTTATTAAAACCTGAGATATTTCATGGGATCTGTGACTGAAGCGCTGTTAAAAGCTAATTCTAATAATTTTTCAGCTTTATTATCCCAGTACCCCCATTTTCTATCCACAAGCAATTTCTCGCAATCTATCTTGTTTATGTAGACTTATTCCTTCAGTTTTTTTTAAGCATATAACTTCTTGCTTGTCCTTCCATGAATCAAACTTCACCATTACTCTCTTATCCTTTCCTAGAACGAGCACTTCTTGCGGTTTAGCTGACACTTTTAATTTCCCCTGGAAAAGGTCTTCCCCTATTTTTTTTTTCATTGCCAGGGCACGCAGGGAGACTTTTGATAACTATATTGTTCTTCTTATCTAGTTTTTCTCGCCATTGTAATTTATGCTCAAGGGATTCGATCTTCTCTTCTAAGGAGTTGATAGTCTGTTGCCATTTTTGTTTATTTTTCTTCATCTCTTCCAGCATTTTTGTCAGATCCTCCTCCCATTGTGCGTTTTGAGCTCATATTAATTTTAGTTCTGAGATCACACTATCCTTTTTATATTTTTTCTATACTGCCTGTTGATATCGTACCTGTATTATCAGATGAGGTACCCAAGGGCTTTCTTTTGTAATTAGTTGTAATACTATTGCTTCCCTGACGATTATCCATAAAATTTAGTTGCTTATCAACCAAGCGCAATTTGCACTATAGTACAGCGGAGAGCCGGCGCTTACTCGCTTATTTGAGGTAGTTTTTTTTCGGAGTAGAAAGAATTGGGACCCACACCATTTTGTTGAGAAATGTTTGAACCTTCAGAATCCCGTTTCACGACATTTTCCGGTGACCCTGACAATAGTTATAGGCCGCTAAAGTTGAACTTTACTCATTTTCGCGCGCGCGACTAGACCACCGAAAGTATTTATTTTCTCAGCAACTAAGCGATATACATCAATAATTTCTTTTGTAAAATGAAAGTATATTTATAGCAGCATCTAAAGCATTCATATTTACGTACCTTGTTATGCACAGTTTTTAGAAAAATGACCGTCAACTTCCAAAATTCGTGTAGCAGATGAAAAGTGCGCACTTTGAACCATCATAACTTTTTATTTCACGATATCGATTTCCAATATTAATAACTCATTCAATGCTCCAAAGCATTGTGATTATTTTATTTTCTATAACATTACCGTGAATTTTTCATAATAAAAAAGTTACGGTCATTTAAGTAAAAACCTACCGACCTCGCCGAGTCGGGAATCGCGAGTGAGACGAAGAGGGAAGGATAGTCAGCAGCGTTCACGCAACAAGGAGCGATGCGTAAAAGGTTCTACTTTACTAAGAAATTTTTCTCCGAATACCAAAACTAGCCATATAGGTATAGGAGTTCGGTCTGGACCGGCAAAGAGGACGGTTGTCCCTGGCGAGTTCTGTGTTTACTTTGTTTACTTTACCTCTTTAGTAAGTAAATTTTGAACTCCAGGAGGACCCGGGCGTAAATGCGGCTGAAGCCCAAGCTGAATTTGTCTTTATAAAAAAGACAATAACTCAAATTAAACGCGTGATCTTAATTTAATTAAATTGTGGCAAAACAGTGTACAAACCAAATCAACAGGATGACAGGGCGAAAAGCTAAGTACTTGGGTTAAGGTTATAATTTAATTTAAATCAAATTGATTGATTGATAGATAGGTAGAAAAATGATAGAATAGAGACGCAGGCCACGGGGGACAATTTACCAGGTAGTCTAACTAGATAAACGAGACGTCAGAATATCGCGGGTTACCAATACACATGGGCGTGAAATATTAGAATTAGACCCTTTTGAAAGGAAACATAAACCTGTCAATCGGCAAAATACAAACACCCTAACCCATAAAGCAGGCTATTTAAATTCTCAAGTTGACGACATTTTTAGCGCATTTTTGAAAAAAATACGCTATTATATTCGTTATGGCTGGCAGGCCGGCTGTCCGCGTGAGATCTCCACAACTACAATAGCTAGAGACTTCAAATTTTCACTAAAAGCTTTCTGTTATAGTGTAGATGTGCAGGCACTAGTCTATTTTGAGTTAGATTACTTGTGAGATCGATAATTGAAGAAAATAATTTCGATATGGGTTTCGGAGGTGCTATAATTTTACCATTAGATAGCGCTACCAGTATAAAAGCTTATTATTTACTTTGTGACTTGTTTTACAAAATGAAGACGTACCCTCAATTGAAATTAAATAAAATTAATTATTTAACGCAGCCAAAATTACTCGTGAGATCGATAATTTTAAACTTCGCTAATAAAATACTGACCTGCATTACCAAAAATGCGCTTTAATCATGCATATGCTGATTTGAACTTGTTTTTTGTATAATGGGGAAACGCTTAGGTCAATAATAGTGCATTCCGAGGGCTGGCAAGTTTTTGTGCGGGTAGAATTACATCGTTTTCAAACAAATTCATTCTACGGGATAAATAAGACGTCTGTTCCCTTTGATCGACCCAATTAATCTGAATTTCACTTCACGGCTACCTTCCAACACACATAATACAGGGCGGCTAAGTTAGACTAGACTGCATGGGCACGTCTCACTGGGGCAAATCATAACTCAATTCAATTATCTCTTTCAGCATTCTCTTTCAGCGTTCACTTTTCACTGTTCAAGTACTTTCTCTTAACGAGTAGCAACAGAGAGCAAACAGCATGACCGAATAAGTACACACAAACGAGCACATCCTATAGTGCGTCTTGCCTTTTTAATAATATTTGGCACCTCAACAAAGGAAATTCTAAGCAATTGTGCTTTAAGATCATGGACTGCCTGTTTGAAGCGATTGGGCATCAACTGAGGGGATTCCCAGTGACATCAGAACCTCACAGGAAATTAACCAAAAGGATTAGAGAAGAAACCAACGCATACATCAGGGAAAACCTGGAGGATTTGTACCCACAGTTGATAGGAAACGTAGTGGAACTAGAACCCCGGTATGAACAATATGCCAATATGGAGGAAAAGATCGAAGTATACCTCAGGGACCACAGAAAGCAGAGATTCTGGGGAGGATACGAGTCACTGGTGGCGGCGCGGCGGCCAATACATACAACAGCCAGACAGTGGTATACGAGGAAGGAGGGGGGAGGCATGTTATAGAACCAAGAGCAACAACGGGAGCCACAGGTCACTGCCACCTAGCATACAGATTAGGGAGTAGCAATGTCCGGAACCACTATGACAGCGTGATGCGGGGAGAAAACACGATAGA